TTGCTTTCTGTTTGCTTTCTGTTTGCTCTCTGATGCCTGAGCAGGTGTGACTGGGACCAGCAGCAGGTTCCAATTCCCTTTCGCTTTTCCTCTCTGAGTCACAAACTTGCAGGGTTTAGTCTGCTGCCCCTTTTTCAGCTCCTTTGGGAGTGAAATCTGAGTGGGATCTGTCCCTCTGACGTGGCTGCAGTCAGAGCTGTGGGTGTGGGATTTCGGCCAGTGCTCTTCCCTTCCCTTTGCTTTGTGCTCCATGAGCCATAGCTGCTCAGCAAGTCAGCAAGGAAAGACTTTTTGATGACCTACATAATTCTCCCGTGAGATGGGATGACTTCCCTATGGTAAACGTTTTCCATTGGTTTGTTTGGGTCCTCTTAACAGTGAGGAGTTTGGGAAGCCTTTTTTCCCCCCTAATGTGGAGGTATTGCAATGCAAAGGGAAGGTTGTACAAGGGCTCTCGTGTATCCATACAGGAGTAGAGATCAAGTGAGTGCCCAGCTGAGAGTGGCACAGAAAATCCAGGCAGAGGACTGGAAGGAAGCTACGAGTCCTGACTTCAGGCTGCTGTGCTCCTGTCACTCTGCCTCCCAGCACACCTGTCCTTGAGCTGTGAGAATTCCAAACCTGGCATTTGCTTTTCTCAAGGCGGGGGGAGAGGCAGGAACTTGTGCAGAGCTCCCAGCCACAGTGACTCTGTACTCCTTAAACATGTAAAATTAAATTGAACTTCTTAGGGGAAAAAATGATCAGAGCCTGTTGCGTCTTTCTCACCAAAGGCCTTTCGTGCTTCATGTGGTGCTGCTGTTTGACAGCTCATGTTTCTCCACTGTGCCCAGACAGGCTGCAGGTCTCACATTTCACTTCCAGAGCTCTGTGGCTCAGCTGATCCTGCCTGTGAAGCTCTTAAAGCCTTGCCCAGCAGATCTGCCCCGGGAGAGCCCCATGGCTGGGCACAGCAGTGGGACCTGAGCCCCAGGCTGTCATACACCTCCTCCTTTGTGACAGAGCCTTGGTGCTGTGTGTGCTCCTGGTGTCCCAGTGCCAGTGTGTGCTGCACGGGCCAGGAGTGATGTGCTGGAGTGTGTCAGCCCGAGCTGGAGCCTGGCACTGCCCTCCTGTGCAGGATACAGGAATCCTGTGCAACCGGAGGCAGTGGCATTTGGTCCAGCAGCGCGTGCCAAGGTGAGCTGTGCTCTGCCAGGCTGAGGTGTGGTCTGCCAAAGCAAACAGGGTTCTGCTGATGGGTTTCTGAGGAGGGGAAGGGCATCTCTGCGGGAGGGAGCAGCCAGTGCCGGTCTGGATGCTGCTGCCTGGAACTGGTTGGGCTCTTGGGAAGAGCCTCCTGGGGTGATTTCAGTGTTGGCTCCCCAGCACTTTTTCCTTGTGTACTGAGAAGTGCTGGCAGTGACTGGGAGAGCAGCCAGGGCTGTGTGAACAGACTCAGGAGCTGCAGCGAAGATTTTTAGCAGCAACAGTTGATGTGTGTATGGGAGAAGAAAATGTGTGTGTGCTTAATAAATATTGGCACTCAGCAAGGGCTTATCAGCTAACACAGTGCTTCAGCTTCTAGAGAGCTGAGCTGGCTCTGCCACACTGAGAATCCCTTCAGATCAGGGGATAAATACAACATTAATGTGAAAAATGGGGTTTTTTTTGAATGGTGCTGCTTTACTGCTGACTGAGCGGTGGGATGGTTCCTGCTGCCTTCCCAAGCTCACACGAGGGGCAGCACTTGGAAAAGGGCTGAGAATAGAGCAAACCCTGCAGGTTTGGTCTCTTTGTTATTTGCTGGTTTGTGTTGTGTGAACCCCTGTCTTTTAGGAGGGAGAGGCACATTCCCAAGCTGAGTTTCAGGGCTGTACCAGTAGACTAGATGACCTTCAGAGCTCCAGTCCATCATCTGATCCTGGCTGGGACTGACTGTGTACCTATTTCTGCAGCCTTTGAAACCCTCAGTGAATGGAAACCATCCCTCGAGGTTGCCCTGTTCTGCTGCACCGTTGTCCCTGCTGCTACAATGACCAAACTAGATATTCCTTGCCACAGTTCAGCTGCCTTACAGCTTCTCCTGTCCTCCAACATCAGCTCTTCCTTTTTTTGCCAGTGACAGTTCCCGTGTGTGAAGACTTCTAATACTTTAATCTTCCCTTGGCAATCTCTTTCCATGCCCCAGGTCACTCTTGTCACTCTGCCTGAAACTGCCAGTGACTTGCATCTGGTTTTCTTTAATGCTGCAACCAAAGCTACACAGAATTCCCTGGTCTGTGGCAATAGTGAAAGGATTCCTCTGAGTTTGGTGGTGATATTTATGCATCCCAGTGTGTTTGGCTGCTGTCTGCAGCTTTTTAGTGGTCTCTGATTTCTGATGTGGAGCTCCTCTGCAAGACAAATGACACAGACTAAATTTCTGAGCTGGCAGGACACCATATTCTTCACCTTTTGTCTTTTTTATGGTTTCCCCTTCCCAGCCCAGTGTGCCTGTGTGTACCTGCAGCACTGTCCACCTGCACATCCAGGCAGTGCTGCAGCAACAGGTGTTCTGCAGGATCAAAGCACTGTTTCTCTTTAAATTCCTCCAGCTTTCCAGGGAGCAGCTTTTGATCTTTACCTGTGGCTTTGTTCTTTCTGTGCCAGGTAAAAGCTCATTAAATGGTGCCTCTGTAGGCAGAGACATCCTGCACCTGCACCTGCCTTCCTGAGAGCCCCTGGAGAGCTGCAGCAGGACATCACACAAGCTCTTGTTTCATACCATCTCCTGTCCTTGGCAGGAAAAGCTCCCTTGTGTTTCCTGAGGGAGCATTCCCTGGCCAGCAGCAGCTCCCAGCTGGTGCCACCTCCCTCCTATGTGCACACAGGTTTTTGGGGTTCTGATGGAATCACTGACATAGCTGAAGTTCTGGACATTCAGTCTGTTTTCAGCTGTGGCAGCAATGGGGCAGAGCTGGGCAGTCTGTGCTGCTTACAAAGTGTTCTGGTGACAGATGACCCTGCTCAGGTGTGCTGGAGGCTCAGGCCTCTGGGCAGGTTGCTCCACATCACTGCTTTGGACCTCCCCAGCCCTGTGTGGAAACGTCCTGTTGTAACTCCGTGGGAGGAAGGAGGCAGCAGAATTTACTCTGTCCTTGCAGGGTTGCAAGGAGAGGAAAGGTGATTGGCTCTTCAAATGTGGTTGAGGCAAATTACTTTCTCTCAGGTATAACCCAGAGTCTGAAACTATGGATTTTGGCAATCCAGGCAAGAATGAGCACAGAGCTCCATTGGTGTTTGGTTTTGGGGCTGAGATATGAGGACACACGTTGTGGTTGGTGCTGGAAGGAGACAGGAGTGTGCAGGACTTGCAAAGTAATTCTTTTATCCTAAACACTACAGAGCAGGGCTGAGGCTTCTCCATCAAGTCCCAGCAAAGACTGAAATGCAAAACCCAGTTGTGCTGTGATTCAAGCTGACAAACGTGGTGATTGCCAGTTAAACCAAGAGTTTGTCCTTTAATGAAGGCTCTGTCAGCAGTTTGGCAGTCTCATTTGCAATCTTCTGTATGCACCAATCTGCCAGAATCAGGACAGCTATTTTCTTTCCCTGCAGCTCTCCCTCAGCTCTCAGAGAAACACTGGATTCTGTTTGCCCTTTCTCCCCACCTTTGTTGGCTTGAGATAGCATCAAAACCAGGTTAGGGAAATCAGAGCTGTTTGATGCCTGACAATGCTTGCTTTAGGCTCTTAAAGATTTCCTCAGAAGATGCCCCTGATAGAACAGGTCAAAGCTTGTCTGCTTTATTTTTCTCTCTGGCTCTTCCTGGTCATGCTCTGCAGCCTCTGGTGTGGGACTGGTGCTGAGGAACACACCAGACTGATCTCTCCGCATGCTGCCCCAGACTTGGGAGTGTGGAGATGTGTGGGGTGTGCTGGGTCAGACTGGCCATGTAAACACAAAGGAACAAAAGGAGGTGTTTCCTTTCCTGGTGTGCTTTTGGCAGAACAGAAACTACTGTGGTTCTGGTCTGCTTCCCAGCTGGGATGGCAGCAGGGAATGCTCTGTGCTGAGGTGTGTCAGGCTGCCTGTGGGATTGCTTTGTGCAAGACCCACCTGCACTTCCAACACATTCAGTCTTCTTCCTGGTGTGTCTGCTAAATGGGTTATAGCTTGGGTGACCCCTCTGGGACCACTGCAGAGCTCCTCACCAACATCTCATTTGAGCACAGAGCTTACCTAGGGATGAGCTGGGGATTGTTCTCCACAGCAACTAAAACTATTGATAGGTGAAATGTTTGCCTTGAGTTGATGTGCCACACTTTGCTGCTGCCTTCTCTGTTGAATGTTAGGCTCTTGCCACTTATCTCTGACAAGGCTCTGTTTAACCTTCACTGCTCAAAAAAAACCCCCAAAACAAAACCAAAAAAACAACCTCACAGAAAACCATCCCAACTCAAAAGCCTCAAATGCAGAGAAATGATAAGCAGGAGATGAAGTGGGTTTGATTGCTGTTGTTTTGGAGATGGGTCCTTGCTGTGGCTGGAGCAGTAGCTCTGTGTTTAGTGCCATGGTCTGGGCCATTTCTGTGCTGAGGGAACCCTCTGGGGTCAGCTCTGACTCTGTGACATCCCCAGGTCAGTGACACATTGGACAGCTCCACACACCTGAGCTATTCCCTCAGTGGGTGATTTTGCTGACCAGCATTGCCCTCCTGTCTCATCCCACCAGTAAATACAACCATGTGGGGGTTTTGCTGCCTTCATATTTCTTGATGGCAGAGAAAAACATCCCAGGATTCTGTACTTCAGCTCCTTTAGAGCTTGGAGGTGATGCTACAATTCCAGAGCACTCCAAGCTCTTTCCTGCGTCGTGGCTCAATGCAGCATTGACAGGAGACTCGTCCTCAGACAGTGGGAGGCACGTGCTGTGCTGTCGTTATATTGGTTCTAACACCATTTTTTCCCCTTCTTGGCAGATCTTCTGAATTTGGCTCCTGACTAGAGCTGACAGATGATGGAAACATTTCCTCAGCGATGTCTCTGGGGCGACTCCTCCGACGTGCCTCTTCGAAAGCTTCCGACCTCCTGACCCTGACTCCTGGTGGCAGCAGCACTTCACCGTCCATGCTCGATGGGGAGATCATCTACTCGAAGAACAATGTCTGTGTCCACCCACCTGAGCTGCTGCAAGGCATTGGGGAGCACCATCCAGGTGATGGGGTGTTGCAGACACTGCTCACTCTCTCTTTTTCTCTCTCCTGGGGGTTGTTTCTGTCAAATTCTACATCTTGGGCTCGAAAGAACAAAGAAGGGAACGGGGCAAGGCAGTAAGTGGAAGAGTAAGGGAAGCCATCCATGAGCTGATCCTTCACTTCTTCTTTTAGTAGGAAAATTGGTGGTATTTCTTCTTTCTCTTCTGGTCCAGCATGGATTTACCTGGTTCAGTAAGTCTTTTTGTACTGCCAGAAGTTGTCATTTGAGGACAGTAACTTCTGTTGCTCATTCAAATCTGTGAATTGTTCAGGAAATCCAAGTATCCTCTTGTAACTGTCATTGCTGGAGTGGCCTCAGCAGCCACTGGTGAAGGGAAAAGCAAGAAAACCTGATTGTGGCTGAAGTAAATGAAGATAAATGAAGATAAATACTGCTCTGTCCCTTTATTCTCATCTGGTCCTGTGCTCCTTCATGTTCTCATCAAAGAGCTGTGGCTCCTGGCTCAGCTTCACAAAACGAATTATTCAGTGAACATTGACCCTTGCTTTCCTTTTTTGTGTGGGTGACTTCTTTTATCATTGGTGTTCCATGAAACCTGTAGCCCTTTAGCTACATTAAGGTAAATATTCTTGAGAAGTCAATGTTCAGCTGGCACTTGAAACTGTTTAACTAAGAAACAGCACAAGTTTTTCATGTGACAACATATTTCACAATCCTCTCTTGATTAGTAATCCGTGCAGGAAGTCCAAGTATTTGCATGTCATTTCTCTGTCCACTTAGGCCAGAGGGAGTTTGGGCTACTCAAGCCATATGCAGACTTGCAATGGTTTGCAAATACTGGATAATGTTGAGCACTCCACAACTCCTTGGGCAGAATTCTGTCCTGGTAAATAGAAGGGTTTGTTTTGCCCATGTGTAATGGTGGTGAAGTGGGGGGAGTCATGGAGTCCCAGAATGGTTTGGGTTGGAAAGACCTTAAAGATCATCCAGTTCCAACCTCCTGCCATGGGTAGAGAAACCTTCCACTAGAGCAGGTTGCTCAGTGCCCCATCCAGCCTGGCCTGGAACTAAAGCTGTTTAATGGTTGGACTTGATGATCTTCGAGGTCTCCTCCAACCTGGATGATTCTGTGATTTCCAGGAATGGGGAGATGGGGAAAAAGAACTTTCAGAGTTATGCAATTCCCTTAGACCAAATCTGTGTCACATCTGGTTGCTCCTGTGCTCTCTCCTAGGCTATTTGTGCTTGTACATGGAGAAGGATGAGCTCCTGGGCACCACGCTGATCCTGGCCTGGGTGCCCAACTCCCGCATCCAGAGGCAGGATGAGGAGGCTCTGCGCTACATCACCCCCGAGAGCTCCCCCGTCCGCAAAGCTCCGCGGAAACGCGGCCGACACGCTCAGGGCTTCGGCCCCGTGCTGCCCCCCGAGCAGAGAGGGACTGTGATCCCCAAGGGGGACGAGCCCCTGGCTCTGCGGGATGGGGCCTACGTCAGCTCCCCCTCGTCGGAAGGGGAGAAGCTGTCCCGCCGCTCCCCCCAGCCCCCGCGCAGCGACTCAGGGATCCTCTCCACCGTCAGCTCCCAGGAGGAGCAGAACAGGTCGGAGCTGTCGGCAGAGGGCACGGAGGAGTGTCTGGACTGCAGGCCAGAGCCGGGGGAGGACGAGGGCTCCCTGGAGCTGTCTGCTGATGATGTGAGCAGGGACAGCACCTTTGACTCTGATTCGGATGCCTTCTCCTCCCCCTTCTGCCTCTCTCCCATCAGTGAAGCCCTCGGGAAGAGCAGCAGTTCTGTGTTTCTGGACAATGAGAGCAGGTGAGTGCATCCTTTCTCTGTTTCTGGGTGCTGAGCTTGGAGATGCTGAAGGAAGTTGAGAAACTTCACAGTGGCATCGAGCTGAACGTCCTGTCTTGCTTCACACTCCTGTAGAGCTTACAGGAAAGTGTTTGCCAGCCAGTCCTGCTTCTGGCCCCAAACACCCAGTGCTGTATTGGTACAGCCTTCCAAGTGAACTGTCTTGAACCCTGGCAGCAGCATGGCTAAATTAAATAGGTCCTTTGTTGCCTAATTGGCTCTGCTGAGGAGATGAGCTCGTTGCAGCTCGTGCAGAGCCACATCAAAGAGCCTGACTGACTTCCTGCACCCTGGGCACCTCTGCAGGGCCCTGTGCTGACACAGCCTGCGAGTGTGGGCTCGTTTTGCTGGTGTTCAGAATGTGGTTCCTGTGCAGACAGCTCAGTATCAACTATTGCATGTCTAACCTGGATATTTCTGTCAGTGCTCCTCAATGGCACCTGCAGTAAACTCCACACAGGGTTAGAGGGCACCTTGGCAAAGGAATAAGGAACAGGAGACACCTGTATAACTCACTCTCTTCATACGCAATGTTTCTGGCTTTCTGGTCCATGCCCTGTTGGTGTATCACTTGTTTCCATCTTGGGGAGGATGGCTGTGCTGCCTTCCTGAAGCACTGTGTGGCTGAGTTTTTAGGCTACAGCTCAGCCTTGAAGCTACACCTGAAATGAGGAGACACAAGTTCTCCTTTGTGCTCGTCAGCAATGCACAGATTGCACTGAGACTTGACAGTTGAAGAGATTTTGCCTTTTTGTTTTATGGGCTAATCTCCAGCCCAGAGAGTGCCAGTAAGAACAAGGTTTGTGAGGAAGTATTTTAATGGATTCAACTCTCTCTGGATATTCTAAAACCCTTCAGTGTGATGATGTCAGACTTTGTATCAGCTTTGCATTCAAGATGTGCCCTGGCAGGATGCTGCAGCTAACTGTGACCCTTGGGGTTTGCTGGGCATGAGTTCTGCAGCACCTGGGCAGAGGGTTGAGTGGTGGTTGTCCTGTCCTACCCCATCCTGCCCTCTCCTCTGGCTCCAGAGGGGCTGTGGGGTGCCCAGGGTGAACCTCTGGTTTCCAAATTGTCTTGAACATCAGTTTGACAGTGTCTCTTTTAGCTCTCCAAATACAAGGCCTAGTAGTTGTTTTTGGCAAGTATTCATAAGAGTGTAGAAGACTTTGGAAGCTATGTAAATGTCATGAAACACACCTTGGAAAATAGTCTAGGGAGGTCTTTGACTCTGTTGACTGTATTTGTTGGTTTCTACCCTTTTGTCCCATTCAGGCTGAATTCTGGCACTGGGCTGCAACCTGGGGCTGGGACTTGAGTTGTCTGAGCTTTCAGAGGTCACGTTGGGTTGGAAATTACTTGGCCTTGACTTCAAAAAGCAGAAACCCCCCAAATCCACTGCAACCAAAGCCTCTGTGTGTATAAAGTGTATAAGGTATATAAAATGATTTTTTTCCTTGAAGCAGCACTGTGTCTTTGACCTGTCTCAGTCACTCTGAATAAAGTGAACTTTGAGGTGGTTTTTAAGCATGTTTTTGGTAAGTAAAGTATAATTAAAACGCTTTGGGAACATTTTTGAGTTCCAACAGTAAGATTTAAAGGGAAAATGTCCCTTTGGCTCTATGTGTGTGTATAAGTTGTGGCCTCTGCTGTGGTCCAATACAGGGTCCTTATCCATTGCAGTGCTTGGAAGCAGGAGGAGAGAGGGACACGTTCAGAATAACATCCTGACTGCTGAAAACCAGGAGACTGAGCTCATCCTGGGGAAATCCCAGTCCTGTCCTGGGCCACAGCCACACTGTGGTCTCGGGGAGCTTTGGCACAGGAGAGGAGCTGGCACAGGAGGGTCCCAGGCAGTGTCCAGGGCACAGCGAGTGGGCGAGGACTGTTGTGGTTTAACTGTTGTGCAACACTTACACTCCGAGCTGCTAACAGCGTGGGGAAAGGAAGGAAGTGCAGTTTATTGCATCTTCCCTGCCTTGCCTGTGAATTCCTGCAGCGTTTCCCTGCCCTCTGCCGGCTTCCCTCGCTGCTGCCGGAGCCTGACAGCTCCAGGCAGGCAGAGCCTGCTCTGCACACACAGCTTAGGGGCTTCGTTGGCTTTTTCCCCTCTTTATTTCTTTTTAACTCCTGTGGTGCCAGTCTGAAGCTTCACAGTGTTTGTGATGCTCACATTTGGCAGCAGATTATTAAAACAGACCTTTCATTGTTTGGGACTTCAGACTGGAAAGGTTTTTGTCGACATTTTTGTGCCAGTTTGTTCTTCCCGATAGAGCCTCCTTGCATGGAATCCACAGGATCTTACAGACTGTTGGAGCTGGAGATTTGGCATTGAATACTTTGCAAAAGTCTTGTCAAAAAGCATCTCTTGTTTCCTGCATTCCTCCCAGCGTTTTGGGGGGTGGAGGAGGCTGTTTGAACAGTCACTACAAGCATGAGCACAGCTTCCTTGTTTCTTAAGGGTTTGTTTTGGTTTTTTTTTTTTCCTGCTGGCTGCTTCCCCTCTGAGCCAGAATTGGAGTGGGAACAAAGTTTGTGCTGCTGGCAGATTGTTTCAGCTCTCTTCCCTCCCCACCTCCTGGTCACCTCCTCCTCCCTGCCAGGAGGAACGACTGTTCCTGGTTGTTTCCCTCTGCACTGGGGAATTGTTGTAAAATCAACTCCACTCTTCCCCGTGGTTGCTGCAGAAGCTGAAGGAATACATTGCATTTCAGTGCCCCCAGCTTTCCATGCCATTAGATATCCTCAGGAATGGAGGAGTGGGACACTGTGGGAGAATTCGGACGTACAGATAGACTTGGATCAGATGAGATCAGGAGCTCAGTGAGCTGCTTGCCAGAATTCCTGTGTGACCAGGCGTCATGAGTCCCACCTGCCTCTTGGAGCACCCTGGAGGAGGTGGCTTGGTCCCCGGGGCAGAAGGGAGCCACAAACACATGGTGTCTGCAGAAGGGGATGGGGAGGAAGGAGGGAGGTGACCTGGGGACCTGTGAGCTGCACGAGTTGGTCAGTGTAAGTCAACAACTCGTCTGGTAGAACATAAGGAAATAAAAAAATATCCATTGGATTTTTTCCTCTTTGCTTCCCAGTCTGACAGGCTGCCAGGGATCCCATGCAGCAATCGATGCTCTCCTCCCATTTACACAATTCCTGGGGCTGGGAGTGATGGGAGTGTCCCAGCAAAAGCCTACACACGCTTGCTTCTCTTTTTAGACCAGCCTGGCCCCACTGCTGCAGGGTGCCCTCATCTCTTATGGAAAAGTGGCCTTACTCCCTGGGGTTTGTGTCCTTCTTAGCTTTGGGGGCCCTTTTCTGCTCCCAGGACATGGATCCTGCAGGAGGTACCTGGTGTGGGGAATGCCTGCACTGATGGAGCCCTGTCATGGCCTGTGTTTCTGTAGGAAAGGAGGATTCTGAAAATAAAATAATTCCATTCTGTACCTTCCTTCCCCAGTTACTGTTGTTTGCTGGCTGTCAGGAAACATTTGCCTTGTGGTCTGAAGGGCAGGAATTGAGGGCAGCTGCTCTCTGTGCCCAGCTCTGGCTTGCTGCCGCCCTGCAAAATTACTCAGCTTCCATTTTCCCCATCAGTAAAGTGAAACTAAAAGGCTTTTGTTACATCCTGGCGAGCAAACAGCATCTGACACCTCTATAATGTCTGTCCTCCAATGCTTCTAGGGTTATTTAACTGACCATGACATCAGATCTATACAATTGGCCATGGAAGCACTTAGTGCCCTGTGAGGGGGGTTCAGTTTGGGGTGGGATTTGTGCTGTGCCAGAGGGATCCCTGGTTGACAGGAGCTTTCCCTAGCGATAGGTGCTCAGGCTGCTAAAGGCTTTTCACCAGTTAACTGTGGTTGCTGTTACCTGACAAGCACCACGATAGTGTTGGAGAGGAGAAATAAACACTGGCAGTGGCTCCTTCACTGACCTCAGCTTGGGATGCTGATCAATACAGTCGAAGTTTGGGTCAAGAAGCCTCAGTGGTGGAATTGTGTGAGTGGACAACCTCTGGCCAGAGGCTGGAGCTCCATGAGCAGGTCTGCAGGTGCTGGGACAGAGACCAGCAGTGCTCCCACAGCTCTTGCTGTGAAGGACAAACAGAAGGGATGTGACCAACATGGTCACAGATATCAATGCAAGAAGGAAACATCCTTCATGAGACATCAATCGTTTTAGCAGTCAGTAATAAAAACAGTGAACCATTTTCATAATGGAGCTGAACGTTGGTAGAGCTCTGGTGTTCCTCAGCAGACATGAGTTCACGTGGCAGATCCATCACACACCGTCCAGGCAAAGCTCACAACAACACAGGGAAAAACTCCTTGGGCATCGCAGTTGATGCAATTTTTGTAGATGTGTTGCACATCCTGTCCTTAAGCTGCTCCCCAGGAGCTCCTCAGTAATGGAGGAGCTCCGGGAGCAGCCACAGCGCAGAGGGAGAAGCTGGGAGCAGCACACCGTGTTGCATCATGTTGTTTTGGCAGCTCACCTGAAGAGCTCAGAGCTGTTCAGACCCTTGCAGCATAAACAGGAGGCAAAATTATGAGGGAAATGAGCTGAAATTAGTGTGAACTGGCAGAAGCTCTGGAATCATCAGGTGGTTGGGAATTCATCACTGTTGTAACAGAAGTGATTATATTAGAACCAAGGGAATTGGTCACAGACTTCAAAATCTCCTGCAACTTCTTGCAGCATCTCAGCTCTGGGGATGAGCTCAGGTGGTCCAGGCTCCAGTTCTCCAGGACTTGCCTGAACTGGTGCTGTTTATGATGTAAGACACCAAAACTCCTGATTCCATTTGGACCCAAACCCATGCCCAGGGAAAAAATATGCCCAAATCTTTATTCCATCAGAAAGATAGTTCATTTTTCCCTTCTCTTTGCATCGTGGGGTCAGTGCAATCTCCCTCTGAGGCAGTGGTAGTCTGCACAGAGCCAGGCACTGGTTTGGGGAGC